CCTGAATGTATAAGTAAGATGCAGCGCTGTGCCTGCAGGCATTGAGCAAATGGGTAGAAGCGACAGTGCTTCCAAGGGCACGGTTCAAACAGCACATCACTGACTGCCCCTACTGAATCCTCCTGCCGACTTGGCATTCATTATTCATTATTCATTATACGCTGACTTGCAATAAACTCTGTGCAGCACAACAAGGTTAATTCACCTCTGGTTTGGCTTTTGACACCGTCCTACTGCTTTCCAAAAGTTGGTAGACTTTTTTTTTTTTTTTATTAAATATTATATCCAACCTGTCATAACACTGGTCAATATAGGGAAGTGATTGCTGTGCTTAATGGTGTATGACAACTCCAATGACTTCTGCTCCATATAGCATCACGCTCCAATAGCCATGGCACGGTGTACCTGGACAAGGAGATTTTCCATCTCTGCTAAAAGTAATGATAAAATAAATATCTGCGCGGCAATTTAGCCTTTTTTCTAAAATAAAATTGTGGATCAAAAATGTAGGGACTGTACACTGTGGTCTCATTGAGGTGCTAGAGTCAAATCTATGACAACTGAAAGGAGCAAAAGTATTTAAACGCCTTTTTTGCCTGTAAAACCCTCAGTCTTTTCTTTGAAGATGGTATTTGACTGAAAGGGTGAATTAAATTTGCAAAGTGCATGGACACCTTGTTCCCTCATTTAGTACTTCATAATTTAATAACTTTTTAAAACTTCACACCCGGTGTAATCATTCCTAACTGAACACAAAAACACAAACCCTGAAACTAGAAAAAGTTTCAAATACATTGAAGCTTCTTCTAAATAGAGAAACCAGCAATAACAACTGCAGGTCCTACTGTGAACAATTAGTTTAGCCACAGGAGCACAAAACGGCCATAAAGCCAGTTTCCTGGCAGGTTTCGGGTTCTTACCCACAAAGCTCTGCTTCTCTGTGTCCCACAGCGGAGCGGCTCGTACACCGTTGGCTACCAAGGCAAAGAAAGCTTTCTTAACCTGTTGAGCAACAGTTGAAATGAAAAATCCCATTCGAGTCAACAAAACTATATAAAATACTTCACAGCCATATGTGATCATCTTTGCTGGACCTGAAAACAACCACAAGGTGAAACGGCAACAACGATGGGAATTCTTTACCGTTTTCCTGCCACTTCAGACAAATAAAAGAATAATGCAAATAATCCTAAGTCTTGTCTAAACCCTTGATGGTTTTGTGTTGTTTTAGCAGGTGTTTCTGTTTACGATAACCTGTTGGTTTTAGTTAACGGTTGAAAATCTGCACATCAAAGAGGTCAGACCTCCCCAGGTTTACTGTTTAACAGCTTTATGACAATTTCATCAACCATCTCATAGAAACTGCACTGAGGCAAAAATACTCCCGCTTATTTTGTTAAACATTAACTCAGGCTGAATGTCTTTTTTGGTCGTCAAGATAAGGAACCTCAAAAATCATAAAGGCTTGTAGCAGGCAAATGAGCTTCACTTTATCATGCATGTCAAGTGTTATCACAAAAAAAAGGAAGGAAGAATATAGAAAGATGGCGGGTACTAACTTGGAGTGCGGTGTCGAACACAACCAACTTGGAGCTTGTGGGGACAATGTCGTAGCACTTGTGGGATTTCATAAAGCGCATGTAAATATCACTCTCAGGTTCAGCCGCTGTAGGAATGA